GATATTATAATAGAGAAGGAAATTCATGAATTGTTCTATATTGTATTAAAAATTGTTTAATTGAAAATGTTATATTAAACTCCAAAAAAAACTTTTAATTCTGTTTTAGATGCACGTCTAGTATTTCTATAAATATGTTCAATTAATCTATTTGATTACAAATGATTTTGTAAAATAGAAAGTAAGTAATCATTAATTCCACATAATTTTAAATATGCAGGCCTACAAAGAGTCTAAGAACTATTATAGTTATATTTATATGTGTGTTTTTTTATTGGTTTTATTAACTAATTTTTATTAGTAAGTTCAAATGATATTAACTGCGATTTTATAAAGAGTTCAAGCTCATGTTCTTTCAAAGCTTTTAACTCAAAATATCTTTCAAAAAAGTATTTAAAACCTACTTTTTCAAAGTAGGTTCAAGATCTTTTTGTCTTATAGTTTGACAGCAAGTACAATTAGTAGAATTCTCAAAAAATAAATTTAAGTCATAAATTATATCAAGAACTAGATCATTCTTTTCATAATCATCTAATTCTAGTTCAATCAAATTATAAACAGGCTTTAAAGTATTAATAGTTAATTGTTGTGACATTTTTTTTTTTTAAAAAAAAAAGATATTATGTATAAAAATATTAAATAGAAGTCAACTAAAATAATTTAAGTAGCATTAATTAGTTGATGTAATATATCATACAAGATAGGCTAAAAGCTTGAATTAATAAAAATACATCTGTATGTATAAATATATATATATATAATAACAATACTAACTACATTATTATTATTGGGCGAACAGGTTACATAAGGTACAGGTTTACTTTTATGTTCTAAAAAGATACTAATACTTCTTATATTTATAATATTCTATACTACATAGCTAAAGTCATACTTAAAGCCTTAATCCATTATTATCTGTTATATGTATACTAGTCAAAAGTTTAGATATATATTGGCTATTAATATGAAGTTTTGATAATTATTATATATAAAGTAACAGGATTTTAAAGAATTAGATTGCTATAGATTGCTATGAAGAGATTACTACTGTACTATCCAAAAAAAGATGAAAATTATAGTATCTTTAAAACCATATACATTATACTTTACTGTAATATATTTGTATATCAATATACATGTATGTACTAACTTAGAAATATAATAGAATTAATTTAGGCTATTCTTAAATACTTCATTAATAAATAACAGTAAAAAAAATGATTATGTACTATACTATTTAAAGTTACAAAATTTTCTCAAATTTAATCTGATTTGCTAAAATTTTAAATTCGTTTGCTTGAAAATAATTTCAAGGTCTATATAATATATGCATATTAGTTAAGACATACTATATGTTGTGAAGTTAAAATTGACTTCCTTCTCCAATGATACTATATTGTAGCTAATACCAGAATTCTAAGAATTTTTGATATCCAAATAATTTTAGTATTTTTGATGAGTGAAATAGTGATAGTCCAAAAATTTGGTAGTCTCATGACTAATTTAATAATAATGGTATTCTAATTTTCATCTAAAAATTAATGTTTGCATTAATACAACGTATATAGAAAGATATATCTAAATTTTTGAGTTAAAAACTTTTGTGAATTTAAAAGTTTTTTTCGATTTCTGATTTTTTTGCCTTTATTTTTTTATTTTGCATTTGTATGCTACACACTGAACTTACAATTAGACTGAACAAAAATCATGGGACTACTAAATTTTTGAGTCATCACTATTTTACTCATTTTGGATATGATAGAAGAAAAATAAAAAGAATATAGAAAAAGTTAGATAAATAATAGTATATAATATAAAGTGCGAACTATAATAAGATAGTAATACATAATAGTGAAGTTTCTTATTATTAGATAATGATTAAATTTGTGTAATAATATCCTGTAGAGTCATTTTTAAAGCAAATTTCTAGTAGTACAAAAATATATAATATTGTATAATAGTAAAATATTTATCTATTATATTGATTATTTTTATTCTATTTTTAGATCTTCAGAAAAATTTTCCACTGAATTTGGTCTAAAGATCTAGACTTCTGTAACCCATTTTAATATTATGTTAACATACTATAAAATTTGTACAAAATAAGCTTTATGTTTTATAAATTAATATTAAACAAAAATCTTATTTTTGGTTTAAGGGACTTCAGAACCTCATTTTTAAGGCAAAGACCCTATTGGTTAGTTCTACACTATATTGCTATACCTGCAATGCAACAAACTATAGTTTAGTTCTTACAGAAAATTAAGTTTTTATAATGAATAAAACAAATATTTTCTTAACAATGACAATATTAACAGGAACAAAAACTTAAATCAGATAATAGAAAATAAATCAGATATATTTAAAAGTCTTTTTTCTAGTATAAACTTAGATAAACTCTTAAAAACAGAAGAAACAACTATACTTTCTCAATAAGAAAAAAAATTCAATAAAGAAACTTTAAAGAATTTTCTCTTTAAGAATTATATTATAAAAAAAGTTAACTTCTCTTAAATAACTTCTTTACTAAATTCATTAATAACTTGACAAAAGATATAGAAGAAGTTTTTATAAAAATTAATTCTTTAATAAAAACTATTTTTAAAGAAGCTTAAAGAAATAATCTTTTGATTAAAAGAAAAAAACTAAGAAAAATAATGAGATCAAGTTCTTAAAACTCTCAAAGCATACTACTACTTAGAACAACTAAAAGAAAGTATAAAAAAATAGATAAAAATTAAAGTATGCTTGAAATACTTTAAAGAAATTTTTAAATCTTCAATAAGCTAACAGAATATAGAAGTATTCTAAATAAGTTTATTAAATCTTTTAGATATGTGAACTATTAAAATTTTGCTCTATTACAAAAATAATATTTACTAACTTAGAAGAATTAAATATTAAAAATTTTACAAAACTCTTAGAATTAGTTAGAATTTGTAGTGTTCATTTTTAAAGAGAATAGAAATATTATAAATGAGTTTTAATTATTTTATTCTTATTAATTTATTATTAGTATTTTTATTATAAATAGTTAATTTTTTAAATATACTTTATTTATTATTATTACTTTTACAAATAATTTAATAGTTATAGATAGATTTAAATTATACTGTTAGATTCAGCTTGAAAAGACCTTTCAAATAAGCTATAATTTATAACTATAGAATTTTTAGTTTTTGAGTTGTCTTAGAAACAACTAGAAATTATTTATTGTTCTTACTGTTCTTACTGCTTTTACTATTTTTACTATTTTTACTATTCTTACTATTCTTACTATTCTTACTGTTCTTACTATTTTTACTATTTTTACTATTCTTACTGTTTTTATTCTTAATTGTAAAAAGCAATATAAATACTCTTTTATCTTTTTGTTTCAGATTAGATTTGATCTTTGCAATCTCTTTAATATTAAAATTTTTTTAGCATAGAAACTAATAGATAGTCTTGTATTATTGATATTGTATTTTAAATAAAATATAATCTTTACTCTTTTATTAACTTTATAATAAACTGCTATAGTAAAGTAATATTCTACTTAAACACTATTGAAAGCCTCTTTTTTGTGTTTTATATTATTTGTATCATATTAAGAAGGCTAACACTTGTAATAATATAATCTTATATTTTTAAAAGATATATTAGAAATAAGTAAAAAAATAAAATAAGTAATAAATACTTATTTTTTACCTTAATACTTGTATATATATATTATTACTAAAAATTACCTATAATAAATAAATATTATCTATTATATTTTACAAATATAATCTAGAAAGTAAATTTTAAACAAAATAATTTACTAATAGGTTATATTTTTACTTATATTATAATTCTTTACTTATTATTATTTATTATATAAAAAATCAAAAAAATACTAGTAATAATATATTTATATACTTGCTTATTTCTAATATATATATGCATAAAATAAGATTACTAAAAAAAAACCTAATATTATCTCTAAAAATGATATATTGTTATTAAATGAACTTTAGTATATTTTCTTAATTATTTATTAATATATTACTTTAGATATTTAGATTTATATATTAGCATTTCTTTCAAATTCTTAATAGCTAAAAATAAATTTAAATTATATTATTTGATATAGCTTGATTAGACTTTTAAAATAAGCTATAAATTATATTTGTAGCTTATGTAGTTCTTGAGTTACCTTAGGATTAACATTTAAGTAACATTTATATTTGATAACATTTAACTATATTTGATGATGTTTAGCTATAATTGATGATGTTTAGCTATAATTAATAATATTTAGCTATATTTGATAATATTTAACTCTGTTTAGCTATATTTAATAATATTTAGAAATATTTGAAAAAAGATATATGAACTCTAGCTTTTTTTTCTCTTGTAAAGCAGTTCTATAGTCCTTTATAGTTTTCTAATAAAAATACAATACTCAATGAAGTTTAAGGTTTTCTATTAATCCTTTAATAAAGTATAATCTTAGCCTTGTAAAATGTTTCTTTTAAGTAAACTGCTATAGTGATATAATATTCTACTTTAACACTATTAGGAGTCCTTTTTTTGTGTCTTATATTACTTGTGATGTATTGAGAAGACTATGTTACTTGTAATATTTTAGTACTTTCTAGCAAAAAGAAAATAAAAGGCCTTTATATATTATATTATCTAACATAAGTAGCTAATAATAAAATTATAGATGAACTATCAGAATTATAGTATATCTTATGACTAAAAAAAAATCTAAAGAGAAAAGTTCTTTAGAATGATTTATAATTATATATCATATTTTACTAATATTTCTATGAATATTAAATATAGAAAGATAAAAAATATACTAATCTACTTATAAGAATCTACTCTACAACTTTTATTATAGTATATCTTAGTATTAAAATACTTCTTTAGCCTGCAAAATAGCTTAAATAATTCTATTAATATTTTCAAAAACAATTTTCTTAGAGAAGATCTCAAGAAGAAAAAAAATATAGTTCTAATAATTTATAAAAATTATTATATCTTAGCTTTCTGTAAACAGATTTTAATATTTTAATATCTGTTAGAACCACAAGGACTTGGTCTACAACTTTACTTAAGACATCAAGTTAAGGTTATATAGTATAAATACTCTTTTGGAATAGCTTTTATAAAATTGATCTACAAAGTATCTTTTTTTTTACTAGGCTATATAGGCAAAAATTTTTAGAAATTTTTTCTACTCTCTATATAGTAGATGACCTTTACAAAACTTATTACTTTTAGATTATTACATACCTATAGTAACTAAAGAAAGTGAATTTTAGAAACTTAGATATAACCAAACTTTTAAATACCTTATAGAGCTTAAACAACTTTATCTTAGACATATGACTTGTATATATATATATTTTGATAGATTATTATCTTGAATAATATTTATATTTAACTCTATAGTAGATATAGATAGAATATTATGAACATTACTTTGAACATTTTATTTTACTTTATTTAAATCAAGATAGTTTGTTATTTCTGTATAAAAATAACTGAAGGTTAGCTAGTATTACCTTATTTTAAAAGTTTCAAAGTTTATTAAAGATTTATTAAGACAGTTTGCTACTTTTAAACAAAAGTGATCTAATAGTGAGAATGTTTTTATCTTTTGCAAAAAGCTATTGTATAAAAAGACTTACAGTTTGTCAATTCTGAGCAAGATATAACTAGTAGTTTTTATATTATTACTCTTCAAAAATATAGTGAAATTTTAATTTAATTTATCAAATTAAGAAGATTTAATCAAGTACTCTTAAACATAATGCTTAGAAAGTTCAACTATATATACATTAATAAAAAAACTTTAGATTTAATTTCTTTTAGAAACAGATTCTTTATAATACTCTGATATAATATTTCTGAATAATAAAGATTCTCAAATATAATATTTCTGAATGATAATAATAATAGATATCTTGCAGCTTACTGGATAAATAATGCTCTAATAGTGAAATATACTCTACAAGCCAAATTAGATAGACATAAAGATAAAACTATAGCTTGCAGCTTACTGCAACCCCACAGGAGGAAAAATACCTTGCTAGTGAAAGGTTTTCTAAGAGCCAAATATATAGGTATAAGAATCTAATAAAATTTTGAAAATAGAAATTATAAATTAATATTTTTTACTATTTAGAAAATATTACAATATCTATAAACAATAATTTTTGCATCTCTAAAAATTTTGATCTCTCTACTATGACCTCTTTTATTACACATAATATTCTTTATTTTTCTCTTATACTCTTAAATTTAATGACAAAAACTCTCTGCTCAATATCTCTACCTCTTTTTTTTTAATAACTTTATCTTCTTCTTACTTTCTTTTATCTTTCTTACTTGAATACTTTTTTTATTATTAATTTTTATCATATTTTATTTTTATTTTATTTTTATTTTACTTCTTTTAATTATTTTAATATTAGTTTTACTTTTTTTTTTCTTGGTTAACAAAATATATAGTAGTTGTAATTATGAATAGCAAGTGTTGTAACTTGTTAGCATATTTGTTAATTTGAATTTTGAAAAGTATATATGATTGATGATGATATAAAATTATGAGTAGTAAAGGCCTCTTGCAAGCTCTAGCCTACTCAAATATGATGAATACTATCTTGTTTTCTGTTTATCTTGCTTATGCATAAAACAGAAAAGTTTTAGGATTTAAAGTTTTTACTACATATTGTAATTTATAAAAGGTCTTTATCTTTTGGTCTACTATGAAATCATAGGATTAAATTCATTAATTATTTATTTTATTTTTATTTTATTTTATTTTATTTTATTCTTTAATTAATTATTTAATATTTATAATATTCAGAAACAGAATTTATTTATTTAAATAAAAAAAAAATTTTTATTTTATTTTATTTATTTAATATTTTTTTTAGAATATTTCTAATTATACACTGGGTGTATGAAACTCATATCACGTGTACTAATAACATGTGCACATGATATTCAATTGACCACTACTGCATTAGCATTAGTATCCTTTTTTTATACACTTTTTTCATTCGCCTTAAGGCACTAAACAAGACTTTTAGCACGTATCTTTGGCTTGTGCTTCTGCAAGTAATACTTTCAAAGTATGTATTTTATATCATTGTAAAGATTAGAGTTGCTGTGAATGCTAAGAGTTCTCTGGTTTAGAATTCGTGCTGTAGTACTTTTTTTAAACTTTTGACTTTCGGTCACATTGCTTTGATTCGTTACTAATAATCACTTGTTCATGAGTATTTTATATTAATTGTTTTAATATCGAATTTTGTGTTAGTACTAGCATTAATATATTTTTTTTGAGTTAGAGTTTGGGTTTGGTTGAAGATTATAAAAAATCTTTTAGCTTTCTATACATCTGTTCTAATTTGAATTACGGTATCTATACATATCATATTTACGATATTGTTTATTTAATTTGTTTAGTAATGTATTTAAGATTATTTTGAAACAGGTTTCGAAGGTTATATGAAATAACTTGACTTCTGTATATTTGTATTATGGTATCATACCTCTTTTTTTACTTCATAAGTGTTTATTTTGGTATTTAAGTTTGAGCTTTATAATAGTTACGCTAATTCTTTCAATTTTTTATAATTTTACAAGGGATATAATATTACTGACTAATACCAAACGTACCTTTTGTCAATAATAGTAATATAACTATTTGATCATCTTTTATAAGTACCATTCTCTAAGCATAATATTTAGTAAAATTTTTGTAAATGTAGGATTTTACAAATAAAAAGTCAGCTAAAATGATTAATGATAATTTACTTAACTCTAATGAACTCAATTTAAATGACACTGTTTACTTTGAATTTGAGATGACTATTTCTCTTGATTATTCTGATACATACAACAATTCTGTACCCTCAGAAAATGATTACCAAGATATATCTAGTTATTATAATAATTCTGTATGCCAGATGATAATAATTATATAGCCACTCAATTATGCAACTCAGTAAATGAAGATGAATCAGATAACAATAAAACAGATGATGAATTGCATTTGGAATTGGTAGTTGGTATTTCATTTTTATACTGGAAATCTTTTAAAGCTTGGCTTAATTGTTTTGCACTGCAGAAAGGGTTTGATTATAAAATTAGGACGAGTGAAGCAGATAATAAAGGTATAATTCGAAGGGCAACCTATATGTGTACAAAAGCTGGCACTCACAGTTCAAACATAACAGTTGATCCTACTAAGCGTTGTAATACTAAGTCTCAAAGGACTAAATGTTCTTGAAAATTATGTGTTACATATCTAAAGACAATTGCAAGAGTAAAAATCAATTCTTTTTGTAATATTCACAATCATCCACTTACCTCTATGGTTAGTGAGATTGCTATACGATATCGCAAGTTGACTCCTGATATGTTATCAGATATTGAAAAGTATATAATTCAGGGCAGAATAGACTCAGGTTCAATTTATTCTTTACTTTGACATGATTATCCTAACTATCTATTAAATAAACAGGATTTATACAATGCTGTATATAATTTTCGACGAAATCATAACTCTAGTGACTTGGATGCTTCGTTAATGCTTCAAATATTATTAAAATGGAAGGAAGAAAATCCTTTATGGGTAGTTATATCATGTATTGAGATAGTATCAAGAAAGTTAAATTCTTTATTATGGCTATCTCTAGCACAAAAGTTACTTTATGAGCAATTTCATGATGTTGTAATTATAGATACAACTGCAAATACGAACTGATTCTGAATGATGCTTTTTATTGTTGCTATAATTGATAACAATTTTAAAACAAGAATCATAGCAAATTGTATTATTGAGGATAAGACATTAGATACTTATAAGTAGATTTATGAAACATTGCTTGAGAAGACGGGTGTTATACCTACAGTAATATTTACCGATAGTGATTCTGCTATAATAAGTGCAATTAAGTTTGTATATCCTACCACCAGTCATATGTTATGCATATTTCATATAGATATGAACCTTAAAAAAAAATTAAGAGGAAAATTAGGTTCTCAATTTGAATTATTTCATTCTAATTTTTATACCTGTCATAATAGTTTATATATAAGTCTTTTTGAAACTTGTTGGGCAAAACTATTAGATGAATATTCAGCTGTTACAAAGTATCTAACTGATACACTTTATAGTACTAAAGAGTTGTGAGCAGTTCTTTGGATTTATAAACAATTTACTAGAGGAATTCAAAGCACGCAAAGAGTTGAGTCCATTAATATGCATATACACAAAAAAGTTGATCGTACAACCTTGCTATATGATTTATTAATTAATCTTAAAGATTATGAAGATCAGGAAGAACATTTAATGAAATTTGAGATTCAGCACAATATGCTTCTATTTGTTGGTTTACCAATGCTACATACCCATTTTTTTTGTAAGAGTTTAAATGTATCGTAACAGTTTAAACAATGAGTTTTAGTTATAAACACAGTTTATAATATTAGCGATAAGA